TGTGACATAAAGGTTTGTCATTCAATATACTTTAGTGAACAGCTTTTCTACCGGCACATAGAGCTGTAACCTACATTTCCTTTTGTAACTATTTTAAGAAGCCTTTTATGGTAAAGAACATTTAATCTTTTATTTCTTTCTTCATTGGCAATGACAACAGATCAATACACAGGTTATGAAGGCATTCGTGACTGGTATCAGATAACCCACAATTACAAACGTGGAGACAAACATCAAATAGTGGGGTCGCGTGGCGTAGTGTCAGAGTGCTCGACTCGAAACCAAGAGGTCCTGGGTTCGCGTCCTGACATGCCGCCGATTTTGTGCCCTTGGGAAAGGCACTTTACACGTCTTTCCTCACTTAACTCAATTGAAAATGAGTATTGTCCTGTCATGTATTTCTATCCTGTGTTGGTGGCGGCATAAAGTTGATATAACTTGAGTGCGCCGTCGCCATGTTTGGTCATTAATTGTTTGGATTTTTAAAAAAAGGACAAAGGTCACCATTTCGCGCAGGCTCAGAAGGCCCATGTTGAGTAATTATTGATGAGAGCATCCAAACCAACTGTAAAAAGCCTTCATCTTCGTATGTGTGGATGGATGCCGCTATTTTTTAACTTGGGAGTTATTTCTCTTTCTATTTTGTTAAAAAAGGATTTTACTTTAGTCCGATAGAGCTTTAAAAGTAATGCCATGTTAACGTTGTTGATTTTTGGTGGTTGAAGGTAGTGAGAGGTCGTGCTCTATCTCTTTACCTTTATCACACTTGTTTACGCCGATCGAAAAGTTAATCATTTTACTAAATGAGGGCTTTCTGTAGTGGGCTGTCCTAAAAATAGTCTGAAAAAGGTTAGATCTGAATCGGCTGGAAATTAAACATTCGGTCAGATTTTGGACGGGTGTGCTGATTCATACGTTCTGTCATGTTCATTAGTTTTATGACCGTCTCAATATGCGGTGCATCTTATCTCAGAAGGAATCACCTATCCAAGGAAGGGGCTGTTCTTCTTATCTTGGACAGGCTTGGCAAGGCATTCCCTTTAGAGAATGATGTATAAATATATATAGTAGAGGTGGTATATATAGTAGAGGGGATTTATTCCTCAGCTAACCGACATCTCGCACACGCAGTCGTCCCTCAGTAAGACATCTGGAGCCGCATAGTTCCCGTTTAGAACTTTTATTCAGTCTGTCACACGACCGGTTTCGCCTGTGTGGCTTCTCAAAGTGTACAGAGGCTAAATGACACAAAAGTTCCCACATATATACCTTTCCAGTGCATAATACCCTCAGGTCAGTTACATTGCGTTCAGATCGTCCTTTAGAGAATGATGGTTTTGCAAACATTGAAAGAAAACATGGCTCCAAAGAACATCTTGCTACAAGATGGATGTACTGCAGTACATGCCTGTAATGTGGCTGCACTTGACGCACATGTGCACAAAAACAACACATGGTCACATCGACATCTTTGTTGAAGGGTCATCTGGTCAAAAGAGCAAATATTCCATCCAGCCCTCCCCAAGAGGACTAGCTCATTATTTGACATCATCACCAAAGCAAAATGAGGTATTTTTATGGTATGGAATCTCCACTAAACAAGTATAAGGGTACCAAGGTTAGGGATACCCCTAATTATGTCACTAAAAGTAACAAAACATATTGTTTTTTAGAGCAGGAATGACATTTTGAAAACCTATAGATGCAAGAATGTGCAATATATGACATGTCTCTGATGTCAGGATATTTCCTCGATTTATGTTTTTGTGGGGGGAAATGCATTATGTGAGACATCAAGACATGTAAGGCATCGTCATACAATTGCTATTCATTCACACGTCATGCTAGCAGAAACACATACAGTTTAATGAAACCTAAAACGAACGCCCTGAAGAAGACTTTCATATACAGATCTTTAACAGTTTGGAATATTTTTCCACCGTGATGAGGTACAAGCAGCAACTAATTAAGAGTAGGTTAAGGCAGGAGTTGATGGGGCACATTCGTAGATAGTTGATAGGCGCATGTGATGTTACTTTTAAATGTTAGTTTATACATGTTGTATCGATGTTACTTTTAAATGTTAGTTTATACGATATCTAATAGTGTATCTAAATAATATTGCAATTTTGATGTAATGTATTTGTACTATTGTAGCGTATTTGTACTATTGTTAAGTACCCTAACTCCAGGAAGATTAGCGTCATATTTGATTTTGTACCACTGTCTTGTATGTCGCCAATGGAGGTTTAATAAAGCACATAAAGCACATTCATACGACTATCATGGTGTATTGTACCTCTCTGCCCAGTTGGGACCATTTTTCACCATCTATTGCTAAGTTATGGTAATTTTCAAAAAGATGTTTAAACCCGGTGTACTGACAGCCTGGGTTTGTTTACACCACCTGAGTTATATCTTTACAAAAAGCCACTAAAAACAATGCCACAGAAAGAATAAAGAAACACAAAAAGACTGAAGAGAAGTTTCGTTTGATCAGTGTTGCTGGTACCGGTCCATATGCCTACGCTTGAATAAAATAGCGCTGACACGAAAAACAAATATTTGACCACATTTATGGACTAACGTTAAAAATTCAACAAGCAACTGGACTAACATTAAAAATTCATGAAGCAATGTAAATAGAGGGACAAATCTGTCCTTTAAGAGAAATAAATCGACATAAGAAATGAATTTCCTGGGAATTTCTTGGGAATTTCGGTCACTTCTAAAGTACATTATATTTAGAAAAAGAAGACGAAGAAACAGAAAACACAATTTATTCCAACACGAATGCTTGACATCACGTTACACCCCTAATTTATGAATGATTAGAGATTTTCAAACACCATGTCTGACAAACGGCCATGAAATCAACAACGATTCGGAGACCTCATATCTCCTTCAAAAATGTTGAGATTTTTGTAAGTTTTGCTTCATTTTGATACTTATTATGGAAGTAAGATTATAATAAACCAAATGTAATATAGTTTAATGTTTTTCTCAACTCAAAGTACATAAACTGATACGTAATTTAGATTGCATCAACAACATACCTTTAGCTCGTTTAGGAACAGCATACCAAGATTGGGACATGTCAGCAGGTTGTTTTTCCCTCAAAGGGGACGTTGGTCGGTAGGCCTTATTTTCAGTTTCCAATCTCTCTGAATATAGCGGTGGCAACATCTTATTTGGGTTTTCTTGATCTTTGTCTTGTTCATTTTTACGTCCTACATGTTTTGATGACTCCTTGTTGTCTTCCTTATCTTCATACAGATGTGACGCTGCCTGAGACTGTTTGTTCCGGTACAGGGAACATGGTAACGTTTTCTCTTCATTCCCGGTTATCCCAGTTTCTCTATCGAAAGCAGAGTTCGGAGGGAGGGCCGCTGCTGCATACGGCTCGAGAATGGCAATTTCCTCGGTGTTGTGCCGAGCGCCACCTGCTTGTTTCTTGTCTGCCTTCCGCATCTTTCCTCCCCAGGTGTCTCCTTGTTAGGGTAACAGTTTTCCACTTGAATTCACAGAAATTGTCGGTGGTTTTGCGCTACAAATAACGATGCTTTCAGGGAAAATCCTGTCGACGTCAGACAAAATAACAAGACCGGTACCCAGGCCGACTGGTGTTTTTGCCAGAGCAGACTCATTAGGACATGTCATAACATGAGTTATAATGAAAAAAAACAAAACGCAACGCATTTAATTTCATATTGTATAGAAAGGAATCAAGGAAAGTAATCAACTTTAAAGAAATCCTAAACCTCTTTGAACACGACATCAGAAAACCCGAAAAAGTTCCATTAACACCTCGACAGCATGAAATCCAGTACCTTTGTGCATGGTTTAGAATGTGCTTATAATATCGAATCTATTGCTGTGCCAAGCCAACCACGCCACGATCTACTCCCAACCTCCAGCCAACGATCAGCCTACCGTGGCCAAACCTTCCGTTAACACCTTTACTAAAATCTCTCTATTTTTTTTCAGAATATTTGTTACAGAAAAAAACTTAATGGGGTTTATTAACACCAAAAAGCATTGTATGATGTCGAGGACAGTTGTTATGAAGGGATTGAAACACTGGATGGAAAAGGTTGCTATGGAAGAGTCCAATTTGGAATGGGGAGGGATTGGATGGACTGAAATATGCTGTACATGTATTTGCCCCCGAGCAAATGTCGGCCTTTTTATTGTAATATCATATCTTTTGTTATTTTTTATGTTCTATGGCGGCGTTCATACATGTATAAGTTTTATCATCCTGAGTGCGTTGTATTTCTTTTTATGTTTTAGGCCACACCGACTGAATTCCGCAAAAAAATCAGCAATTTTCGGCTTGTCACAAACATCGCTTTGTACTGCCGAAAATTCACAATACCAGCTTTGTATTCCTGTGGTTTAGTAGCATTTTTATTTTTAGCCGATCTTCAGAAGATGTCATCTATAAGATTAAGTCGGTGTCACCTTACTGAAAAAAAAATCCTAAAACACGCCAAAATAATCCAAAGCCCAAACTAATCATATGTACGATGTAGCAGCGTTAATTTACATATCGTGCACCCATTTAGAGGTGACATCTCTGGCAGACACACCAGACAGAGACATCTACTGTCCACCCTCAGAACAAGAACAAAACGTTTTCAGAACAGCCCGATTGTTTATATGACCCACCTTTTAAAACAGGCAGTAACAGTGTTTTGCCCATAGTACGTATGATCATGGAACGCTGGGACTTGTATATATCCGATTTGTATATATAGTGTAGGTTTTAAAAGCACTTCCCTTATTACTTTTAATGTGGTCAAGTATGTACTTTTAAGCGTATTTTTAAATATGTCAATGTTGTAAAACACGCAATTCAGCCTGTGGCTGCCATGTGTTTTTGACGAATAAACCTTTCATTCATCCATTCATTTACTCGGGTTAGACAACTGAATAATTCTGCTGTTAAATTTAGATCACAACAGACTTGACAAACCGGTTCTTGATTGACCCAAGAGAGGGCTTCATGCGCACACCACCTGGCGTCTGGTGCGGAGGACTGCAGAACTCTAAATGTTATCGTCTCTAAATGTGACATAAACACAAGTTGCTAAGTATTGTATTAGTGTCTACAAAGCTTCAATAACTAAGGTATGTCTTTTCTTCTCCTATTCTGGTGACGTACATGACGTATTGTCACAATGTAGGCATTAAATGTTCCGGAGTCAAAATGGCCGACAGCACGTACATGTATTGTTTACCCGGAAACGTTGTCGTAGCTGCAATTTTTTTGGGAAACTTGTATAATTTTGACGTTCATTTCCGCCAAAAAAAACACAGTATTTTTATTGTTAATTTACTAAACACGGTGCCTTGATCAGTTGAGGAAGGGGTGTTATAATCCGCTGGAAATCTATACAAGACCCCACTTCTTCACGACTGAACAGAGAAAAAGTACACCTGGCTTCACAGTGTCTTCGTGGACATAGCGAGAACCTAAGACGCCCGAAAAGGCTATATATATATCACAGTTCTGTCATTTTCGTACTCATCATTTGCCTCTCGTGACAACTGACAAGAAATTAAAGCATACTGCTTCTCCATGCAAGCAGGAATATAGCCCTTGTTTCTACTAGCGATTCAGGTAATAACAACTTGCTAAGAGATCTCGATCTCATCATAATTAAACCATTTCTGTCATACCTATGTTTGAGTAGAATATAATTAATATTTTTACTTCGGGTTTGGACTAAGTGATTTTGATTTGTTGTCTGCGGGTTTATGTGGATGCTTGTCCGGACAGGTTAGGTTGACAGCACGTGGGTTGTAGGGGGAAAGATTCTCAGGCAGAATGACAGGAGGTTATAAAGAGTCAGACATAAACCTGTAGTATGTAGGGCACGTCATGCAATCTCCTTAGTTGTTCCAATAGATTTAAGATTAGGCCACACCAATTTAATTTGTTGTTTCTCAGATTTTTTTTTCAGAAAAATATGAAGCGACAGGGTGAAAAAAACAACAGACCAAGGCACCCCATTATAGCAGGAATTGTTACAGTATGAGCCATAAAGTGAACACGCCAGATCGGTTTATAATTAAGACAATAGATTTTGAACTTTTAATGAAACAAAATTGCATTGCTACATTGAAAAAAAATGAACAAATGGGAAGAAAAGGAGTTTCTTTAACCGTTGGGGCCAAAATATGTCTTTCATTGAGCATTTTGAAGTTGATTTAGAACCAAAAAAATAATTTTTTTTGCAAAGCAGAAAAAAATGGACAGGGCTAATCCGAGAAACAACAAATTAAATTGGTGTGACCTTACCCAAAATAATTCCTCTGATTTGTTGTTCGCAGATTTAGGATGGTTGCCAGGATGAAGCGCATGTCATTTGAGCAGCGGCTGTTGGTGGTGTCTGTTATTAGCTTTCTCCTGGGCGGGTGAGTGTTTGTCATTCAGTATACATGTAGGGAACAGCTTTGATTTGATTTGATTTATTAGGCTGTATGAGACATATGTATACAGCCAGGACTGCCCAACTAGCCGGAGGCTATTATAAAGGGCTAGCCCTCACAACAAGAACATAAACAAGTCGGAACAGGTAACAGTTAACAGTGTCGGTTACACTTCAGATAAACAAACTATTACATAACAGATGTTGCGGTCTAACGTTAACAGTTTATGAGATCCGGCCTAGTCGTCATGCGTTTATTATAATTACATTGTAATAGTACATTAACCTGACATGTAAAGATAGTACAGTACTATATTTACATGTCAGGGTAATGTACTATTACATAACAGATGTTGCGGTCTAACGTTAACAGGCTATGAAATCTGGCCTAGTAGTCATGCATTTACTATAATTACGAACAGCTTTTCTGCCGGAACATAGAGCTGTAACCTACATTTCCTTTTGTAACTCTCTCAAGTAGCCTTTTATGGTAAAGGACATTTAATTTCTTTCTCTTTTTCTTTATTGGCAATGACAACAGATCAATACACAGGTTTTCAAGACAGTGGTGACTGGTATTAGATAACTTACAAATAAAAACGTGGAGACAAACATGAAATAAAGAAATCTACTATTAATGCAAGACCTGGAATAAAGATAACATATTGTGACTGGTTACAAAGTACAGTACTATAATAATACATAATATAAGAAAATCAAGACATTCCTACCTAGCAGCAATATGTGCAAAGAGTGTAGATACTAATTGGAATAGATAATGCTTCGGTAAGAGCTGAATTCAAGTGCAAGTGTAAAACAAAGTCATTATACACATTAGGTCGAAATTAGCGTACTAATGTATTTCAATCCTGTTCAGATTGAGGAGGGGTGACAATCCTCACGCGTATACCTTGACCTTGTAACGCCTGAACGACTATAGAGTCGCCAAAATTTGTAACTGGTAAAATTAGTATCTGTGCGTCGTCTTATCTATAATATAATCCAAGTTAGGCCATGTTGATTTGATCATATAGATGACGTCCGCGCGCATGAATTTTCCTCCGTTTCCAAAAAAAAAGGTTTTTGACCATACTGCAAAATTAGCAAATATAAGTCGAAGATTACAAAAATTATAATTTGGACAACGATACGAATGCCAAAATCAAATCCAATGAAAAAGAAGAAAATGTGTAGAAATGAAAATAAAAATTCTATTTTTCATTATACTAAACTCTGTGTGTTTATTCATTTGTTCATCAACCTTTATGACCACGTAGCTTACATAATAAAGGCAACTTTTTTTGTCAAACTACTTTTTTTATTCGCACGCAAGCACCAGTTTTGAGGTTCCCAGAGGATGGCATCCATATAATCAAATCAACATGGCATTAGAATGCAAAACAAATGACGTAAAGGTAAACCTAATTTTATGAGAAAGACAATATTCGTATTAATCACTGATAGTGAACGCTAATCACTGATTTTTTAAATTGCAATTGTGGGTCGTGTGGCGTAGCGGCAGAGTGCTCGACTTGGAACCAATAGGTCCCGGGTTCGAGTCCTGACATGCCACCGATCTTGTGTCCCTGGGAAATGCACTTTACACGACTTTCCTCACTTCGCTCAGGTGAAAATAAGTATTGTATTGGTCCCTGTGTTGGTGGCGGCATTAATATAAGTTGAAAAAAAAACTTGAGTGCGCCGTCACCACGTCTTGTGATTAGATACTGGATGTAATAAAAATGATTATTTTTCCCGTTTGTTTGCAGTTGTCTGGGAAAACTGTGGTGCTTGCTCCTGGTCCCGTGTGGCAAACGTTCAGTACGGATTCCGTACGGCGCGGTGGTTGACGGGAACAGTTCTATCCACCTAGCCGGGTTCCAGGTAACGATGATGCTCCTGCCCGTCAACCGGGGACAACACTTTAACAGTCTGCCCAGGAATCCTGAGGTCGAACGGTGGGTGTTATACATCATTTCTTTTTACTCCGTGAAGGAGGTCTTTACCTCCGGACGGAGTATTGTGGGCAGTCGTATTTTCGCTACATTACATTATATTGTTGCACATAGAATTAATAGATAACATAACACATGTAAGTTATCTGCTGGAAAACAGCCTAGACGGAGATTTCCCAAACAGGAATGTATATATAGTACGGAAATTTTTGTACTGTCTTCGAATACAAACGTTTGCATCATATTTTTGGGGTCGTTTGGCGTAGCGGCAGAGTGCTCGACTCGGAATCAAGAGGTCCCGGGTTCGAGTCCTGACATGCCACCGATCTTGTGCTCTTGGAAAGGCACTTAACACGACTTTCCTCAATTCGCTCAGGAATTGAAAATGATATTGTATTCTCCCCTGTGTTGGTGGCGGCATCAATATAAGTTGAAAATTACTTGAGCTCGAGTGTGCTGTCACCACACACCACACACAACACCACGTCTTGTGATCAGATGTTGGAATATATAAAAATATCACTGGTACAAAAATGGCCTCTCTTCAAATACAAGCTTGTGTAATATTAAGTAATACTTATACAGAAAGTTTAGATACATGTACATGAAACCGATGATCCGTCGACGTTAGTAATACCTCTCACTTGTAATCAATTAATAAGTTAATTAAATAATTAATATTTGCAAAATCATGTCTGAGGGCTAATTGCAACATACATTGTATACATAAATGTCAAACAATTGACTATTCTATTCAGAATACAATAAAAACGTTTTTTTTTTTTTGGTTTGACATCTTTTTTTAAAACTGTGGATGACGAAGTGTCCCACTTTTTCTACAATGCGTGGGTTTGGAGAGGTTTAACAGGGTTATAGTTTTCGTCTGTAAACGTCTGGAAGCTGTGGTAAGTTTTGGTGTCTTCTTTAATAATTCTTTTCTTTCCTGATCGTTAGAGGGGCAGCTGGAGATAAAATGTATTTCTTCTTCCACAGTTTATTACATAAAGTAGTTGCAAGATAATTATTTCTGCTATAGGTTAATAATAATAATGATTATGATTGTCAAAGTCAAATGCATGAGATCGTAGAACTCTTCTTTTTACTTCATGCTTATGTTATGATATGATCGACCCCAAAGAATTAAAGCTAAGGATTCTGACTGCACAGTAACTAACTAAGGAAACATGTAAAATGGTATTTTCTTCATTTTTTTTTACACTTTACAACAGGTTCAATGTTCAACGTTACGACAGAAGTGTTTCTTTTGTTCTGTAACGATTCCATCTAACTTTTTTTTTATTCATCGAAACATCAAAACATAACAAGGACAGTGTGACGCTGCACTCAAGCTCATAACTTATATTAACAGCTTAACACGAAAAAAAAGGCACAATTAACATTTAATCAACACAAAGTTGACATATATCTGTGCGCCGTAGTCCCACCACCACCCCAAGACATTACAAAATGCTAATGCTAACAAAGTTATTTGAAAAATAAGATTACGTGTTAACCTCCTATTTTTCTCATTGGCGGAAACACATCCGCCAATCAGAGCTAGAAGGAGAATTTAGGCCCATTAACACATGTAGTTTTTGGACTTCTATATCTAATTGACTGTTATAGAAAAAGACATCTAACGTTTGTTATTATTCTTCAGCTACCTTGGGGAGAAGCCATGTGAATGTGCAGGACGGTCGTTAAAAGATTATTTTGCGAGCGACGACTGGACACTGAAACAACGGCAGAGGGACAACAATCTGCGGAGATTCAACAGACGGTCTGTGTTTCTGTCTTACTACTTGTCTTACTATACTCTCCAAGCAGAGGTTTGTGTTCTGGCATATTATTGGCGTGTTTAAGCTTTCTTTATCCTGCTTTCTTTTTGCACTGGTATATTTTTTTTACGTCAACCAAACTTTTATGGGGGGTTTACGTAAAAAAAAGATACCAGTGCAAAAAGAAAGCCTGATAAAAAATGGTAAAAACACGCCAAAAATAAGCCAAAACCCAAACCTCTGCTTGGATAGTAATTCTGACCTATGTACAGTGTTATATATTGTGTGTTTATGCACTTTCTATATCAATTAAGAGGGCAGGCACTGACCGCCATGTTGGTGTTTTTTATTTGCGCTTGAAGGGTCAATCGACTTGAAACAGAATGTCAACAGTTAACTTAATGTTTTTTTTTTTATTCCAACATGTAATCACCAGACGTGGTGACGACACACTCAAGTTTTTTCAACTTATATTAATGCCGCCACCAACACAGGGGACAAATACATGACATGACAATACTCGTTTACACCTGAGCTAAGTGAGGAAAGCCGTGTAAAGTGCCTTTCCCAAGGGCACAAGATCTAATGTTTATGTATCCGGTATTCGTTTCTGTCAGCTTTACTCAATTAATTAAGAGTTAGTATCACGAGTTTTAGACCGTCGCACTAGTCGTACTCAGACTTCAAGTAATTTACTTAGGTCACGTGACCTTATGGACATGTGACGTCAGCAATCAGTAGCACGTCGGCAGATCGTACTGCGTCTGGGCGAAGCCCGTAATCATTATGCATAGCCACTGCGACAGAACGTCTCATATAAGGTCGTGTTTGCGCATATAATGTTAGTACTCTGCCTATAGTTTTCAAATGTTATGTCGGAAAATAATCGTCTGCAACAGGCAAAATTCTAATGCAACGTTGACAACATATCCAACGAAAACCGCGAAAAATGGGGGGGGGGTTTCACGCAGGCGCAGAACGTTCTGCCGACGTGATGCATTTGGCCAAAGGACCAAGTTTATAGCGTCCACCGTCTCCGTTGACTGATTGTTGCCCTGTACTTGCATGTAATGACTTCTTGACTCATGGCAATAGTATGGCGTACGGTGGATCTATACAGTCTCATCATGATCAACACAGTTCTGTTGTCTCCTGTGCAGGCGACTTGATCCACCAGATGTTCACACCCGTGCAGACGGCCTGTCTCCCGTCAGTTACCCCGCTCACGGCGTGGTCGTCAGGCCGCTACGGGCTGTACTTCTACAAGGTGACTGACACGTCTGTGTGCAGTATGTGTGTGTGTGTGTGTGTGTATGTCGTGTGTTTGTGTGCATGTGTTTGCAGGTAAAATGTTTCAGGTCGGTGTGTGTTTGTGTGTGCATGTATATGCAGTACGGTTGTGCGTGCGTTGTTGTAGTGCGTGCATAGGTGCGTGTATGTGTAGATGCAGCGTGTGTTTGTGTGTATTAGGTAGTGTGTGTGTGTGTGTGTTTGTAATAATGGATGCATATGTAGTGTGTATGTGTATGTGTGTGTCTGTAGATGTAGTGTGTGCGTACGTGTGTGTCCATGTGCGTGCGTTTATATGTATTATGTGTATTGTTTAATGATGTAGTAGCCTGTGTTAATACTGGTAGTTTGTGTTTAGCTCGTGCATATAGCACTGCACATGCTATACAAAATTAAAATGCTATAACTTAAAGGGCCTTATTAGGGATAGCATTCTGTATCTGTATAGCATGGTGTAGCTATTGTGTGCAGTTTAAATGTTACAGGGATTTGCTGTTTTTTTTTTCTTTCCAGGCGTTCGTGTAGAATGGTTTGAGGTGGATGACTACTTCAGAGGCACCGTATTTGAGGTAAATGATAACAAAAATAATTTCATTGTATTCTTTATTGTATTTTTACTATTTTACTATTTTATTTGGATCCAAACATAAGCTGACAGGGAAACACAAATGTGCCTTCCGTGAATTGCATAAATTTGTTACGACAGTTGTTTACTAGTATTACATATCTGTGTACTTAAAAATTACAAAATGCAAAACAAAAAAAAATGCACTAAACTACAATACTAAACAGAAAACTGAGCTCCAAGGCCACCAGAGTCACTGTGAAATTGAGTTGTTGTTAATTGATAGTTGTTGAAGAATGTAAGAATGATCAGTTTTCCTTTAGTTTTGCCTTGCAACAACGTGTCGTTTACTTAGTAATACTCTTTGTAATACGATATTATTCTCTTCTTAAAAACGTAGGTTCAATTCACTGGAAAGAGGGGAGTTTTTACAGTTCTCGCCAACATTGAGGACGTCAGTATTGTAGGAGACAACACCGACAACATGTTCATCCGCACAACTAAACCCACTCACCTCAACCAGCAGCTGCAGAAAGTCGTCTACAGGAACACAGAGTTTAACGCAAACATCTATGACTTTGGTAAGGCCACAGCAAGTAATTTTTATGGATGACATCAGCGCGCGCATGGATTTTCGCCTGATTTTGGAAAAAAAACAAGAACTTTTGTTGCCCTCCGACAGTGGCCAAATTCCGAAAATGGGCAAAGATGTCTGTTGCCATGCCGGAACGCGGATGGCAGATAACTATGAAGAGAGGATCAAGAAAAGGCTCAGATTTTATGTTTCGTTTTTTACTTTGATGCGGTGATTTGTGATGGTTGCTGCATGTGTATACGTGATGTTCCCACTGAATCAAAATCATTTGTATAATGATTAAGTCAACATTTTAAAATGCAGGAACCTTGTTTTTTTTCGGCCCGCCTTGTTTTTTTCGCCCGCTCTCATAGGATTTGGAGTGTGCGGAGGATGTCATCCATAAAATTTACTAATTTATAATAGACTCCAGTTTAATTCTGGACTAATTCCAATATCTCAGCAACCTTACATCTAGATGGGCTAATATCGCATACTATAGGTAAAATGATTTAAGAAATATGTATAAGTAGACCCCTTGGGGATTAGCCTAATTCTGCAGAATTTTTCCCAAAATCTGGCTCCAGTTCCTAGAATTCTGCAGAATTCTGGCTCCAGTTAAGAATTCTGCAGGATTCTGCAGAATCGGGTTAATCTCTCAGGGGTTCTTGATGGCTGCTACGTATTTCTTACGTCATATTTTACTGTAGTTTACGATATTTGCTAGATAAGCTATATCCGAGTGCACTTGAGCAATCGTGCTGCATCGTGGTCTATAACAAAGTTCATGACAAAAAGGGGAAAGAGAAAAGACAATTTCAGCAATTTTCGGTTCATTTTTTTATTTAGAATATAGCAGTCTTATAAAAGGACAATTGACACATTACAATGAAACATTTTGAAATAATTTTCAATGCGATGAAAGTTGTTACCCAGACAATGTGCAAACATATCAATATAGCCATATCAATATGAAGATCGACATTATACAATATTCAAACTTTTTTCTTGTTTCGCAGTTGAGATGCGGTACATGGGTTTCACTGCCACTATACCTATCCATATCCAACATCGCCAACTGCCGTGGTTATATGAGCCAGAAAAAGGTAAGAAAAGTCTAAAAGGATATACTAAGAAAAAATAAAACTCTACATGTCAGTCCATAAATGTATGATGTCAATATTGGGAAGAAAAGCAACTCATCTAGTCAGAATTTGATACAAACAAGTTCAGGCTAACTGATAGTACCTCAAAACTTTAACGCTTACACTTTGTAGCATCTTGTGGCTTTGACCAAAATGAAATTTCTGGGTCAGAAGCTATTCTGGACTGTTCTATATTTGCATAGATGTAACTGTAGACATGTACATTTCATGAGAAGGGAGATGGACTGAAATGTTGCATATGCCCCCGAATGTTGGCCTTTCTAGTTTTATATCAAGGGTGTATCTTTTGTACTTTTAAAAGGAACACTATGAAAATGAAGGAAGTTGATATAACACAGTCTTATCTTTCTTTTTTCTTCAAATCAACATGAAACTAGGAAAAATTGGTGACCGGCTGACAGTGGTTGTGACGGCGTCAGGCCACTATGACCACCTGAGACGGCTGGTGAAGTCTATAGAACAGTACTACCCTAAAACTACAGTTATCGTGGCAGACGACAACCCTGCTGACGTGTGGAAGTCTTACCAAGTCCGTAATGTCAAGTACTACAGGATGCCACCAAACAAGGTACGGAAGTGTGGGGTCGTGTGGCGTAGCGACAGACTGTTCAACTCGGAACCAAGAGGTCCCGAGTTCGAGTCCTGACATGCCACCGATCTTGTGCCCATGGGAAAGGCACTTTACACATCTTTCCTCACTGCGCTCAGGTGAAAATGTGTATTGTATTGTCCCCTGTGTTAGTGGCGGCATTAATATAAGTTGAGTGTGCCGTCACCACGTCTTGTGACTACATGTTGGAATATTAAAAAAAAGTGTTCCTTATGTTCATGGTATATAGTTTAGGGAAAAATAATGTGCACTACAATATGATTTGAGTGTCATGAAAGTTCGTCTGTGTTGATAGTTTCAAAGTAAAACTTTTGTTCCAACACAAAAGGGAAATGTTCTTACCTAGAGCTTTCGACCAGCCACTCTGTTTTTTCTCAGATACTGGGAAGTTCCAATGTACTGAGAACAGATACTCAGATACTTAGAATATTTCCCTTTTGTGTTGGAACAAAAGTTTTGCTGTAAGTTATGATATGAGCTTGTTCAACGATGTAATTTTGTGAAATACGAACCACACGAAGAATAGCTACAATAAAAATGGCGAATCTAAACCAAAACTCAAACAGTCAATCGCCAAATTGCGCCATGTGGCATACATCTTAAATTTGTACAATATATATATATATATATATGCTATATTTGTACAAATATATGTTGTATATTCAGTCAATTTGCTTGTTACTCCGTGAAGGAGGTCATGACCTCCGGACGGAGTATTGTGAGTAGCTGTTTTTTCGTGATCGCAGCTAGAACACGCGGGGTTCTCTTTGTGTAATCGCCAAAAATAGGCAAGCAATTTTATACGCCGTCTGCGTTTTGGGATTACTTTTGCTGCAAAATATAAAACTTCACGGAGGATTGTCACCTATGGCTTCTTGTTAGTTTATTGGTCTGTCACCAGAATGCTTCCGACCTACTCCTAACCATAGTTGGGAGGACTTTAGCGGGGTTCAGGAGGCCGTATTCGGCTATGTGTGACAGCTACACGACTAGGGTCTTATAACTGATACTAAAAAAATAGATGGGCACTATAAAATGTATGGAAAGCAATTCAACCGTAACATTAACTGTATTTCCTCGAATCCCTCTCTTTTTTTATATATTGTATCATGTAACAAAGAGTGTATGACAGATGTAATTGTAAATGTCTGTTTTGTTTCAATCTGTACTTGTATATATTTGTTGTAGGAACCCTGGAAGGTTAGCCTTTTGGGACTAAAGGGTTTCTAACTAAACTAAAACTAAAACTAAAACTAAAACTAAAACTAAAACTAAAACTAAAACTAAAACTAAAACTAAAGCTAAAACTAAAACTAAACTGCTTCATGTCTTGATTCCAGGGGTACTTCGCAGGCTTGAACCTTGGAATATCTCAAGTCGCGACGGAATACGTCTTGATTGTTGACGACGACCAGTATTTCACCAAAAAAACCAAACTGAGGGATTTAGTGTCGATGTTGGATCACACGAATTATCACCTGGTGAGGTTATTGACATACTCTTTGTGTTAAGCTGTGATCTAGTTTATACATTGCCGTAATATAAAAACATTACAATAGGTTTATTAATTTATTATAATTAACGATCATAATAGGTTTAATAGGTGTGAATTTAGCTTAGAAAGTTTATACACTTACATGTACACAAGCCCTTCACCGACACACACATGTAGACTTACATTCACGCACACATACACATACATGATAAGGACACTAAGTGATACGTCCACACACACACACATTCACGCACTCACACACACACACACACACACACACACACACACACACACACACACACACACACACACACACACACACACACACACACACACACACACACACACACACACACACACACACACACACACACACACACACACACACACACACACACACACACACACACACACACACACACACACACACACACACACACACACACACACACACACACACACACACACACACACACACACACACACACATTCACTCGTTGTTTTGGTACAATGGAAACCACGAATGAATAATTGACACTGTTTTTTTTTTATTGTAGAAAATACGGAGGGTTTTTATTAAGTTTATCAATACGCCTTAATGTCTTGTTGTAACCTGCAGGTTGGAGGTTCTGTGGAAACCCCCGGACACACCCTCGGCAGTACGTACCGTATACTGGGGAACTCCACGCACGCCTGTGTGGAGAGTCAGCGGCAGGTCTACCACGAGATCCCGGGGTACCAGGGTGAGCACGTCCGCACAAAACCGGGGTTTTTCCTATCCTACAAAATAATTATTATAATGATATTAATTGGTAGTAATTTAGAAGTCGTCCTTCAAAAGTTTTGTAATAGCTATTTGGTCGAATGTACAGACAAGAAGTTGTTTTTCCTGCAATGTATTTCTCTATGCAGTGATTTTCTTATCGTTAAAGGAATGTTTATAAGTCATGGCAGTACTACTACTTTAGCTGCAATGATATTCGTTTTCTTTGTCTTCTACCATACCATTTTCCCCCATCATCCTATCATTTTATTCTAGTATCATACCAGTTTTCATCCTATTCTTTCATGCCTGCATACATCATTCATTGTCGTTATGGCGGATCATCTGGTCAAGTCAAGGACTTGGTCAAATAAAGCTTAGATTGTTTTTATGTTATCTTTTATTTCCTTGTTCTAGTATACATAGATGTCACACATACTCTTTCTATTCTATTCTATTCTATTCTAATCTATTCTAATCTATTCTAATCTATTCTATTCTATTCTACTCTTTTCTACTCTTTTCTACTCTATTCTACTCTGTTCTATTCTATTCTATTTCTATTCTATTTTACTCTATTCTATTCTATTCTACTCTGTTCTATTCTATTCTATTCTACTCTATTCTATTCTATTCTATTCTATTCTATTCTATTCTATTCTATTCTATTCTATTCTATTCAATTCTATTCTATTCTATTCTATTCTATTCTATTCTATTCTACACAATGATGGGCTAAGCCTTATCTACAGTAGTTGTTTATTGAACATTTTGACTTCTGTTTTTTTTCCTGGCAGGATGTTACGCTGCTGACCGTGTGGATAGTTTTTTCCTGGCGTCCACAGCTGACATCAGAGTTGTGGGGTTCGATCCTCATCCGGCACAGGCCCGGACAGGGCGGCAGGGCAGGGGCATGGAGGGTAATCCTCTCACTTCCTCATCCATTTATCTCGCTAAGGCCACAGCAAGTAAATTTTATGAATGGCATCCTCTGCAGACTCCAAATCTAATGCAAGCGGGCGAAAAAAAACAAGGCGGGCCGAAAAATGAAGGTTCCTACATTTTCAAAATTTAACTCAATCATTGCATAAATGGTTTTGATTTAGTGGGAACATCAAATACACACAGCCAACATCACATATCACTGCATTAAAGCTAACATTAACATTAAATCGGTGCCTTTTGTTGTCCCCTCTCTTCATAGATATCTGCCATCCACATTCCGGCATGGCAACAGACATCTTCGCCCATTTTTGGCAGGTTGACCACTGTCAGAGGGCAACAAAAGTTCTTGTTTTTTTCTCTCCAAAATCAGGCGAAAATTACTGCGCGCGCTGATGTCATCCATAAAAATTACTTGCTGTGGCCTAAAGGTTTATCTCCAAGCAGATATTTTGGTGGCTGCAAAGACAGTATCAAATTGGCCAGGCTGTATCTATTTGCCAGACAGTTACCATGTCGCCTACCAGGATTTGCAAGAAGTCGCACTGGACAAGGTTATATATTAAGGTCGAAACTCTCTGACAAAGGGACACAGCCTAGCTAGCTGTAGTTTGATACTTTCTTTGCAGCCACCAAAATATCTGCTTGGAGATTATTTAAATGAATCCAATGCATGTTCAGGGCGGCGAAACGTAGTACTGAGTTTTCAAAGTCAATTTTCTGGTCATTCTTTCAATGCCATAAGTTGAATCAATTCCTTATCCCATAGTGTACTTGTACTGATATCTAAGACAAAAATGAGAAATCGGTTGCTTGTTTTGTGTCGTACGCTGGTTCTAGCTATTAATAGGAGGTACAAAATGAAGAGACGCCTCATAAAGGTTCATATGAACGTCTTTAATCTATTTTCAATTTATTGTAGCCTTTATCTTGAAAAAAAAACTTTTTCAAAATTCAAGATTGATGATCCAAAATGGCGGATACCTTGAATATGTATTATGTCATTTTATAACATCACTGGTGTTACTATGGGCAACATAAGTACACCCTAATATTCCATTATAAACATTTTTTGTCAAAGTTTATTTGTATACCGTTTTTAGGGAATAACCTATATATACGGTTTGGCCAATAAAATCTCATTAATGACGTCATAATGACGTCATATTACGTCATAACGACAAAGAAATTGTTTTTTTCTATTCTATTTTACTAGTACACCATCCTCTGAAAATTTGATGGTCATACGACATACCGTTCGCGAGTTCTGAGGGGGGCCGAATGAGTCACACACCCCTCCCCCGGTCCCACCAAGCCCATCCCCCCCAAAAAAATAAACCGGTCTAGATATGGTTAAGTGCTTCATGTATGAAATGATGACGAACAGTAATTTTTGTTCATCCTGTAGAGTTTTTCGTGGCAGCCCTGGGGAGACTTCGGATCGCGGTGTGCCGTCAGGTGACTATCGGGCAGGACAGCGGCGGTACCAGGGGACAGCAGCTAGCGGCAGGAGACAGCGACGGTACCGGAGGACAGCAGCTGGCGGCAGGGCTGGACCTGGAGGACTGGCACAACTTACTCAGGAACAACCTGACCTGTCGGGGACAATTCTCGTCATAAAAAAACCTTTAAAAAGAAAACATAACCATGTAATGATCTTTAACTAATAATAAAGTGCTAAAAATGGATGTCTATTGACTTTGTCATTTTTTGTACCTTTATTTCCGTGAATTTAAGTAGCCTGGGTGCCATCTTCCATGTGTTTTAGCGACAGCCGGCGGAAACTACGTATTCGGAGGATGGTACCTAGGCTAATATTTTTTGCTGAGGTGACGTTAACATTTCCAAACCGGGACCCATCCGGTCTGTTTGCATGAACGAAAAAAAAATCAACAATTCTTATCAGGAATATACACAAAAAGTACTCATGATTATATAATTATAAATAACCACCCCTGCAGTTTTTCCGAGCACAAAAGTTATCTTACTCACTCACAAAGTTATCTACCATCCAAAATTCTAAACTGTTAACTCCACTGCAGTACAGCGGAACGCCTCTAGGAATCTTATCACTTCGAGGCCTCATCAAGACCTACCCTTATAAGAAAAAAAAAACTATCTATCCAAGCCCCGAACGCATGCTTCGTTTCAACGGTAATAAGACAAAATAAGTTTCAGTTTTGTATAAAGGTGCACTGAAAGAGGATATACAGATTACTCAAAACAAGGATATACATGTATAAAAGAAAGAAAACGGAATGATATACAGCTTATACATACATGTTCTAATGTGAACAACAGTTGTATTATTAAAATGTGCCACACAGCTATATTGACGACAGTATTGGAGTGATCTCAACTTTGCCAACTCGTTTGGCAGCTTCAGGGGAGAATTGGGTGCATGTAACAAGGTGATCGCGAGGTGGCGCTCCTAGTAAGTTACATTCAGAACAGGGCAGACAGTACTAGTCTATTAAGTCTGGCCATAGGAACACATCCTTAAATACACTAAAACTTAAAAGAAGTTCTCGTGTAAGTACTTAGCCATACTTCAATCTCAAAAATTCTTCTGCACCTGGTAGCCACAAGGGTCTGCTTCCCAAATATAGAAAGAAAACAGGGGGTCGACCATCTCAAACTCCCGCCACAGCTGATGATAGTAAACAAACCTCAACTTTGACCTACTTTTCCATGGTATCCATCCGCTCTGGCCAGACAAGACCTAACCACTCACATCTCTCATTACGCCCACTAAACTGGTGAAATAAACAAAACTTGACCAATGTAGGAAAGTTTAGACCCTACCTGTGCCTTCCAGCTCAAAAATCTCCAAAATGGACCAAAAGTTTCAAGAGAAAAAGGAATTTCAAAGGTATTAACTGAGGCGCTACAATCGTTTTGGCCTCCACTGCGCAGCGCAATTGTGACGTCAGCCCAACACGGACGGCGCTCAACTACATGTGTAGCGTTTCGTAGCATTTATATCTTACATGTAGAATTTTAACATTCCTGGCAAGTAACTTAGTTACACTCTGTTTAGTAGCCATAGAACATGTTTAGTATAATTAGGTACAGCTGCTCACTGTACCCTTCATGTGTATAGTTTAGCGTAATGTAGAATGTACACGAGTCGAAATATTCTCTAGCCAGTAGTTTTTATAATACTCTGTCAGATACAATGTCCGTTGACCATATATATAGCATTATGTTAGACACATACCGACTAGTAATTTTATTATTTGCCATACATTGTACCCGTGACAATCGTTGTGCAATAAACTTTGACTTGACTTGACTTGACTATCTTATTTTAACTTGACGATTATGTAGATTGATTATAAGCATGTCCCTCATTATCTTCGGACTCGAAGAAGAAGCCAACATGTCCCTGCCTGTCTAACCCGTGCACAGAGCTCTGTTTAAAACACAAAATTGAGTTAGGCTGTATGAAGAAATACGAAACGTATTCAATGTAAAAAAAATCTACAGCAGATCTGTAGCAGTGTCGATGTATTTGTTACTTCTAAAAGGCAAAGCAGTGTTCAAGGAAAATCAACTGCATGCAGCACATGCAGGCAGCAGTACGCTCCTGTATAACTTACCACACTTTAAAAGTGCTCCTCACAGCGGCTGTTCCCGGGACTGCACCTGACAATCATTGACACACAAACATCACTGCCAGGTCTGTTTGACGCAGTAGTCTGATAATACGGCTGTGCTATTTTCACATGGACACACCACGGCTCATGTTGACATCTAGTATTGACTGTCTAAGTACCGGATTAAACAACAGACATCAGGCGGTTCTGAGAATGTACATGTATGTTCGGGTTAGGCCACACCAAATAAATTTTATGGATGACGTCCTTTGGAGACCCTATATCTAATGCGAGAGGGCGAACAAAAAACAAGAAAGGCCCTAAAAAACAAGATGCCTAGATTAGAAATATACTAAGAGACGACAAATGTTAGGACACAAATTGAATGAGGTGAAACAGATTAACAAGCAAGAAGTCTTTCATTCATCATAAAAACAGCAATAAATCAGGCGGAACAGCAGTTGTCTTCCTGTCCTGTTTCTTTCACATTTTTTCAGGCCTGCAGAAACAAAGCATGTGCTCTTTACCCATTTCGCATTTCGCGTTACGGGTTTCACGTCAATCTAACGATTTGTGGCACTGTCGTGACTCTTTGGTCATAGTTACAGGAAGCGGAATTTCTTGTTTTTTTTTCTAGGAACAGGCCAAAATCAATGCGCGTTGACGTCATCCATAAAATTTACTCGGTGTGGCCTTATGGGCTTTACTTAGGGCACGGTCGCATTTCCAAGCCGGGGCCCGGCCGGGTTGTTTGTGGGAACGAAAAATAAACAATTTGTATTAAACTAAGAGTATACACAAAGAGTACTCACGGTTAATTTAATTTTTCTAAAACTTATTTTGTGTTTTGTATATCATAATTTTTGTTCCATAAAACTGCCCGGCCGGGCCCCGGGTTGGGAAATGTGACCGTGCCTTTAGGCGAAGCAAGGCCATCGAAACAATCGTCTATCGTCTTTTTTCTCTGTGAAGTTATAATGATTTAGGCCATGTTGATTTGATTATATGGATGACATCTGCGCGCCCATGAATTTTCGGCCGTTTCCCAAAAAAAAAAAAAGGTTTTCAACCATACTGTAAATCGTACAAAACAGTTGCAAAATGAGCAAAAACATACCATAAGTTACCAAAAAAAAAAATAATAAAAACTATACCAATGTCGTTGAATGCCGAACGAAAAAAGACGAAAATGTAAAGAACTTGAAGACTAGATTATTCGCCATACCACACTCTGTGCCATTTGCTCAACCCTCATGACCACGTAGATTTCATAGTCACACAGTGAAAAGAACTTTTTTTTTTGCAAAACTTTTTTTTTATTCGCACGCGCGCATCAATTTTGGGGTTCCCGGAGGATGTCATCCATATAATCAAATCAACACGGCCTTATAATGATTAAGGTAGAAAATCGTTTACATACCCTGGAGACAAATTACACGTGCTCTGTCGCCGCGATAGAAACAGAATTTGTCCAGCGGCTTGGGCGGAATTGAGCCGTAGTTAATGAATCTACTGTTTGCTGTTCCTGTTGACTATGACAATAAACACGGGAGTGAAGAGGAGAGCTGGTGATAAGACATGACCTCATCAGACAGGGATCACTTGGGGACATCCCTAAAAAGGAGATCCAACGGTTAAAGAAAGACCTATCTTTTCTTTATCTTTTTTTCTTTCCTCTGTTCAAAGGAGCTGTTTGGTAGCGTCCAAATCTTGATGTCGGGTATGGTAATCACACTGGCACCAGCCAGGATAGGGACGGGCGTTTTCTGTTTAAGGCAAGACAATTAAGTAGTCTACAAAGCTAAACGGTGGGTATGATTTTGATTTTGATTTGATTGATTGAAATTGTAACAGTACAATACATGTGGAACACAGGCCGCTGTTGCTGTATCCCACACATAGAAAAGAATGCAGGACAAACAATAATCATATTTCACTTGAGTTAAGTGAGGAAAGTCGTGAAAAGTGACTTTCCAAAGGGCACAAGATCGGTGGCATGTCAGGACTCGAACTAGGGACCTCTTGATTCCGAGTTGAGCACTCACCCGATACGCCACACGACCCCACGTTCTGTTTCCCTTGTGAAAAATGTCGGGGAACTTTCTTTTTTTCAACTAAAACTGCGCCAACCAGTCACTCTTTTAGTAGGACATGGTTTTTTAGGCACCCCACAATGCAAATTCGGGTTGGCAAAACTTGATTTTCCTTGTCAATTTCTGGTCAGTTGAATCAACCCTACCCCATATATAGCATACTAATATCTGTGAGGCAAAACTGCGATGTTGCAGACGAAAAACGGTTGCTTGTTTTGTATCGTAGGCTGGTCCTAGCTATTTATAGGTGGTACCCAAGAAATAGAGACGCCTTACGTAGAAACGCTATTTGAAATGCTTCAAGTATAAAATAACGCCGAAAATGTGCTAAGACATGACTGTAAATGTCAATATCATACTAAAAGTTTCTCATCCAGAATATTTTGTTTCGCCGCCAAATTGCACTGAAACTTTAAATCGTGCCTGCTAAGAAAGTTTATGTCAGTAAACAAGTTCCGGGACAAAAACGAAAATAGCATTGGTAACCCAGATCATATATACTAGTGCAATATTTGTGAACGATGACATTATTTTATGCGTAGTGGACTCGTGGTATCTGTATCTGTATCTGTATAACCGGTATAACCGCCCTTCGGCGTAACACACCAGCTTACCACCAGTGGTTGGTGTATTAAAGCCTGAAAGTCTACTTCTTGTCTCGGTTAATTTACAAATCGAAGATATCCGTGTCGGTTTGTGTTGCCTTTTGTGGTCTTCTGTGTGGGAATGTAGCTCTACCGGAATGTGGTTCTGTTATCACAACTTATCAGTGATAGTCACAAATATATACATTGTACATATCCCACGTTGAATGTTAAAAGCAGACTCTCTGTATGTGTTTGAAAAGAAATTGTAGCTACGTCTGAACGCAAGAAGCACAGTTTCGTCGCTTTATTATCAGACTTATTCGACCAAAAACGATACCAAACTTTACAAAAGCGTCGGCCAACAGAGAACACCCCTTTACTCTGAGTGGTAGAGTCGTGACGTCATGTAGGGAGGAGTCACACGGTGAGTCACCCATGAGTATTTACCTACTAAAGCCGGTGCCTGCCTGAGGTGTGCCGAACTTTGTACACCGGCCGCTGTCCCAGCCCTGTACGCTTTCACCTGGGGAAAGTTGGACACCTACATTTGGATCCGTACGGCCGCCATATTGGAAGTGGGAGCACATTGGTGACATACCGTTCTGGGGAGTTAATTAGGGGCGAGACTTGTCGGGTCAGCCGGGCGGCACACAGGGGACCTCCGCCCGCCTAGCCGGGCCGGGACAGCTGCTGCTGAGGCCGGGAGTTCTCAGTCTCTACCCGAGCCTGCCTGCCGTACTTCCTGTATGAATATTCCATCGCGTGTCTGCTCAGGCTTTATGTCAGTAAAGACCGACAATCAGTGGAGTAAAAACCGCGCCAAGGTAAGTACATTCATACCTCGTACTAACACCTCTGGACATATTTAATACCAATCAGATGTTATAGTATCGGCTGTGTGTGTTTTTACATGCCAACAGGGTGAAGGTAAATTACTTTGAGGCCACTTCACATTTTAAGTGGACCAGTGGGTGCAACAACATAATCTGAGACTAAGAAAACTCGGGACAGTCTTTCCGCGTATTACAGGAAACTTCGAACATGAGTAATGAGTAAACCTGGCTGTTTCAAGTTGAAACATCAAGGATAAATTTGTTTACTCACGGTACACACAGGCACTCTTTATGTGCGCAGGGACCGTGTCAAAGGTATTTCCCAAACCAACTGAAACCCTTTTAGTTATTGGAGACCTTGTTGTTACGGAGTTTTGAACAAGCCCCGGGGCGTGTGTAAATTTAGTCGGGCGACTTACATCGTATCATGGGCCGGGCGGATCGTGTAACATGGGTTACCTGCTGTATTTGTGTCTCGAATTTCCTCTGTTTTGTTCTGTATCTTACTTAGAGAGTGTACATCAACCGAATGTCGTTCAGAAAGAAAGAAGACGGAAGCTTTGAACCTCTCCCAGCCCATTTGTCGTTACTCATTCTCACTAGTTGGTTTTGTCTGATGAAACTTTGCAGAAAAAACAAACCGAAACGGTGCCCGGATTTCACAGTCATGTTTATACTCTCTAAGGGGTGTATGAGATGACTTAGATCTTTTGCAGGTACACAGGGATAAAGCATGTGGTGTTTGGCCGTTTTCCGATAAAGTTTAAGCTTACGGTAACAAGCTATAGTTCCTGTCACTGTTTTCATTCAGCAGCGGCATTCTAACACTGTTTTATCTAGCCTGTGTTTCCCCTCTGTAAATAGCGATACACACAAAAGGGTACTTTCTGTACAAACCTCTGGAGAATTGAGACATTTGCTGTAGGAAAGGCGTGCTTTGTGAGGTATTGTGGACGAACATGGTATTATGTTTGTGCAACTGTTACGTGGAGAAGACAGTATAGTCCCACTTTCGCGCCTTGCCCGTTATTTGAAGTATTCAAAACCCCGTAACGGCTCCGGTATGCGGCATGTTCAGATAAGGCCACAGTAAGTAATTTTTATGGATGACATCAGCGCGCGCATTAATTTTCGCCTGATTTTGAAAAAAAAAAAACAAGAAATTTTGATAGTGGTCCACATGCCGAAAATGGGCAAAGATGTCTGTTGCCATGCCGGAAGGTGGATAGCAGATAACTATGAAGAGAAGAGACAAAAAAGGCTCTGATTTAATGTTTTGTTTCTTACTTAGATGCAGCACTTTGATGTTCCCACTGAATCAAAACCATTTGTACAATAATTGAGTCAAAATTTGAAAATGTAGGAACCTTGTTTTTTTCCGTCCGTCTTGTTTTTTTTTTCGCCCGCTCGCATTAGATTTGGAGTCTGCGGGTGATGTCATCCATAAAATCTATATGCTGTGGCCTAACCCGGGCTTTTGTTCCAGTCAGTCTCGTGTCATAGGAATATTTCCCGCTCGCAAAGAAGACGGATTGCAGCAATGTCCCCGCCTTCTTCACCCCCATCCAAACATGGGAGAAATAATTGTCAACAAAATTCTTTCACTGACTAACAAGAACTTACTAAAATACTTGCACGTCGACTTATACTCAGTTATAGCGTCTCTCTCTCTATGTGGCTTTGCCATGATTAAATGTGTTGTTTGTCTCTTTTTAAGACCCGTAAAAAATAAAATAAAGAAGACAGACTCGGGTGATAGTAAGATTAGGACGTTTTAAGATTTAAGATTTTCTCTGCTAATAATAACGTTCGGAGTGATATCAAACATATCAAATTTCCTTGCTTTCTCATTGTTGACAAATGACTATACTAAACTAAAATCTTTTGTAAGTTTCTGTTTTTCTGTCCTATATGAAAGGAAGCGTATGTCCTGTGTGTTAGTGAGTTGATCATGAAAAAATGAGTGTTTATTCGTTTAACAAATATGAAATTAGATTTCAAAGACTTCTGGCAATGTCAGCTGTGAGAAACACTTTACCGCATCTAAAATCACACTTCAGAGAGAAAAGAGAGTGTGTTTCTCTTCTGTCTAAAGTTGCGAAGTGTTATTTAGACACATCAACTAAAGTTGAGCTCACAAATACAGCGACATTATTTTTTTATATTCCAACATCTAATCACAAGACGTGGTGACGGCACACTCAAGTTTTTTTTTCAACTTATATTAATGCCGCCACCAACACAGGGGACAATACAATACTCATTTTCACCTGAGCGAAGTGAGGAAAGTCGTGTAAAATGTCTTTGTGGTAAAGTGCCTTTCCCAAGGGCACAAGATCGGTGGCATGTCAAGACTCGAACTCGGGACCTCTTGAATCTGAGTCGAGTACTCTGCCGCTACGCCACACGACCCCACGACATTAATTTTTGTATCTTGAATAAGAAAAAAAATCTCATATTGCGAATTTGTTACTTGCTATTTCGAAAAATTGTATTCGCAAAACCAAATACTGAAATAGCGATTCTAGTGGAGCGCGTATTTGTAACGGAAGTGTACGTGGAAGGAAACTCTAGACGCCCCGCCAACAGTCACCCGACTCTCCGCATGTTATCCCTGTAAACCCCAATCAACATAAACCCTCGAGACTGGCCGGGATTTGTAGAAAGAAATTGGAGATGTAACAGGCAAAAATCAGTCTCTGATTCAGACAGTCTCATTCGTTATTCCCCGGAAACATGAAAGGGTTACGAATCTGGGACTACGTTTCTTGGAGGTTGGACGGATATGTTTGTTTGTTTGATGACGTAACAACACAAACAGGGTGTGTTTATCTGGTTACAGGTGAGAGGTCGCGACCTCAGCCCCTATAATCCCCCCACAATTACAGGCGAGTTCCCGCTTGTGTTTAGTGTTTGTGCTCGTGTGCAGCAGCAGCTGACACCACGGGGTTCGGAATGATTCCACTCCTCACGGGACGGGTTAGAGACTTCAGGCGGTTCCGCACATTCCAGCCACTGGCATGCCAAGGCCAAACATACGTACAGATTTTCTTATGCGCTTTCATCGTGCAGTATTAAACAAACCCTTTTCAAACTATAAGGGCACACAAATTTAATTTGTTCGTTCTCGGATTTTTTCAGAAAAAATATGAAGCGACACGGCGAAAAAAACAGGTCTAGGCATCCTATTATACCCCAAATGCTACGATAGGAGCCATGAAGTCAACACAAAAGGCTGGGTTAATATTTAAACAATGAATTTTGAACTTTCAATGAATCCACTGCATTAATAGATGGAAAAACTGTAACGACAAGGAAGAAAAGGACTTTCCTCAACTGTTGGGGGCAAATTTTGAGCATACTTGAGTTTAGTTGAGTTGATTCAAAGCCAGAATTTTTTTGTAAATCAGAAAAATAATGAAGAGGCGAATCTGAGAACCAACAAATTAAATTAGTGTGACCTAATTTAAAATCACAAAGAGATGAGGAAGCCGAACCTCTGTTTTAGAGTAGTTTAAGAGCTAATGTCTGTACTACTATATATCTGTTGACCTGCATCTGTTGACCTGTACTTAGCCCGATAGGGCATGGACGTACAATAAAGGTTATCTCTAATTATTGTTATAACTAGGGGGAGGGGGCACTTTTGTTATAGTATATACTGAAGATTTCAAAATTGCTTATTACACACTGAACTGAACTGAACTTATTACACACAGATGTATATATCGGATAATTTTAATTCAATTGGATGATTGAAAGTTCTTTACATAAAAACCCCTCAAAATATTTAATTGCTACGTGTATATTTTGGTGGTTATATGCCACCATAGCAGATTAAGATTTCACGAACTGGTAGTTAAACTGTAACTACGTGTGAGTTGAAAATCAGTTCATTCTGGGCACAAAGACTGAAAATATATCGATTTTTTAAATGCAATTAGCAAGTGTTGAGACAACACATGTGTCACATTTTTTAAATCATTATAATTAGTATCGAGTGCCGTGTAGATAACTAACTAATAAATGTCGTTGGTGCACAGTGCAGTAAAGTTATTATAAGTCTCTTTATCTATGATTTGTCAAGGGAATTTTTTTCTTGTCGATGCACAATTATGTTTGTATTTAGGTGTTTTGTATGAAATCATTGACTTTTCCGTTTTCCTTTCATAGCCTCAGGACTATAATTTTCTATTCTTGGATGTTCTGTTGGTTCTAAAGCCGCCATGTTGTTCATGCAGGGCTCGAAATTCATTTTCGGTAACAGGTGCACTGGTGCACCCAATCTAAAAAATTGGGTGCAAAAAAAAAATGTTTGGGTGCACCATATATTAGGTAGAATGTCATCAAAAACTAATTATGTTTCATTTCTAAATGAATATAATATAACAATGACTTTATTATTTTTTGACCCTTGGATATTAAGAATATGCTGTATACTACTATATTTTTAACAACTTTACATACATAAACCTACAAAAAATATTTGGGTGCACTGGTGCACTCACAGGAAAAAATTGGGTGCACAGCTCCAAATTTGGGTGCACTAAGGTGCACATGCACCCAGTATTTCGAGCCCTGTAATGTGTAGGACCGGTTCTACAAGTGTGACCCACAGTATGTCAGGACAGCCGCCATCGCCGCATTAGTCATAGCTGGGTACACTTCCGGACTTCTTCGTTTCTTAACGTGTTGTCTGGTTCTTCGGGAGACCTTTACCTAAAGACGTGGGTAGAAGACTTCAGTTTTGATACTGAGTGTGGCAGTAGAGTTTAGTATCTATCACTAGACTAGAATTCCTGTACTAGAGATCGTTTCCGTTCCAAACTGACTGTTTCCCCCCATATCCGTTTCTAGACAGATTTACGTGGGAAAGATGCCCTGATTCAGCGCTGACTGTGGTAACAAGTCTGTCGTCTGACATGCGATGGAGAGACAACCTTCCAAAACGAAGATGGACGTAGTTGGGGACAAGAACAACGACTTGTTCGAGTTCTTAGTCGGCGCAGAGCTGGAGATGTACACCAATGCCTTCAAGGAAACACTCAAGGTGGGTAAAGAAGATGCTTATTATTTTCTTCGGCAAGAAGGTTATGTTTCCGGTAGCGTCCGTCTGTGTGTGTCTGTCTGACTGTCTGTTTGTTTGTTTGTTTGTTTGTAAACACGATAACTTGAGAAGGCTTAGATGGATTGGATTGTCTTGATATCTGGTAGGTGGGTAGGTCTTGATGAGACCTCTGAATGATAGGATGTTTTGCCCCATGGCAGCTAGTTATGGTACTGCCGTGGAAATTCCGGTTTTGACATATTGTACTCTGGACATGCTATACGAATTTTGTTTGGTAGATAGCTCTTGTGCAAGAATTGATGTGAGTTAAGGCCCTCTAGCAGCTTGTTTTTGAACTGCAGGGGTGTTTTTGAACAGCAGGTATGAGATCATGAAACTCTAGTTTTATCCATATATCATATTATTATAGCTATTATTTTACAAACCACACATTTACGTTTACAAAACGTACGTAAAGATGTACAAAACACACGTAAAGACGTACAGCAATAGACTCACTAACGACCCGAAAACCGACCTGTGCACGAGGTGTGGCTTGATTTTAGAAGATGGTTTAACGACATAATTACAGGGTTTTTCTTCTCTCTCTTTACATGTCACTTACAGCAAGTCTTACTAAACAACACATCTACACAAGTCTACTCTTACTATTTTCTTGGATCTCTCAAGTTCTCTTACATCTTCTCCAAAGTATAGCTCCTGTGGCTGTGTATCACACGGAAGGTCGTAATTTCATGTGATCAAAGCCGTCTACGGTACATTTTTCCCGACACCCCAGGCGCCACGGGGCCGAAAGGTCAAATGCCTGGCAGAAACTGACCGTAAATGGCGGTGTCACCTGTCGGCTGGGTTCAGCTGGGGTGCCCGACGATTTATGAGGGGTCATCCCGGTGCACTTTTGGGTGCGTAAGAAGAAAGAAGTCTCCACCAGACTAACTACCAGTTCAAAAACAGTACAATTTAGCCAAATATGGGGGAATAATTTCGTAGGGGAGTTTGGTTACTGTGGACTTATTTGCCCCACGAATTTAAACGTGCATCCATTCGACTTCAGGGTGGCAAAGTGGATTTTCTGGTCATTCTTTTAACGTAGTATTATAGTCCTAACAGTACCTAGGCTACAGTTAGTTAAGTTGAATCAACTCTATCACATACCGTACTGATATCAGTGGGGCAAAATAGACTATTGCGATGTCACTAGCAGAAAACGGTTACTTCTTTTGTATCAAAGGCTGTTTTAATTAGTAAGCTTGTTTTGGCAGTACAGAGATGGATTTCTTTTTTTCAGAATGTTTTTTTTTTTGTTTTGCCGCTTTAAAATTGCATTTGGATGTGGACTGACTCTCCTGGCCGATTATTCTGCCCATTTTTGCCGATCTGTACCCCATTAGGAAGGATTCAGTGGGAAAAAGAAAGAAGTTCGTTAGTACGTTTGTACAACGAGGCATATGTATACATGTACCTGTATTAACCTCATTGGTTTCTGTTGACCGAGATACTGTACAATAAAATTAACTTGATGTATGAAATACTGTACGATAACTACCCAGATGTTATAGAAGAAAGACAGAAGAAAGAAAGGCGAGGTAAAATCTGTCAAAAAAAGGATGAATTTGTTTTAGAAATGATGTTTGCCTTTGGTACCAAATTCTAGACATAGTCATCTTTTGCCGAAGTATATATGTATGCACTCGTAAAAGAGTCTTGTTAAAAAAACGAAAACGTGAAGTTTCCATCCACCCCTATACAGGAAGTATTTTGGTACGTCCCTAATCCACGTGGAAAGATGACACACTTTTCTGAAAATAGAATCTTGTTGTCCGATATTCCCTGAGAGAACTGCCATGTCAGGTGTTTGTTTCCTGTGGTTTATTCATGTTCTCTTGGTTAGCCTCCACCAGGCCTTTCTAGCCTCCATCAGGCCTTCCTACGGGGGAACGGATTGTAGAATTCGGCAAACAAGGGAATAATTGGCCAGGAGATCTAGAGTCAGTCCACGGAAAAGTTTAACATTCCGCGCGGCATTTGATAGCCAAATTTAAACTCTTCTGTCAGATTGTTATCCTTTATGATTTAACTGAGAGACTGTACACATCAAACTATCAACGTAGTAGCCTCCTTCGTATACTAATACTTGTGTAGCGGCGGCATTGTTTTTTTTGGGGGGGGGCGGGGGGGGGCACTCATATGCAATTTTAAGTTAGGCCATGTTGATTTGATTATATGGATGACATCCGCGCGCGCATGAATTTTCGGCCATTTCCAAAAAAAAAAGTTTTCAACCATACTGTAAATCGTACAAAACAGTTGCAAAATGAGCAAAAATATACCATAAGTTACAAAAAATTAATAAAAACTATACCAATGTCGTAGAATGCCAAAATCAAATGAAAAAAGATGAAATTGTAAAGAAATGAACTTGAAGACTAGATTATTCGCCAAACCATATTCTGTGCCATTTGCTCAACCCTCATGACCACGTAGATTTCATAATGAAAAGAACTTTTTTTTTTTTGCAAAACTTTTTGTTTATTCGCACGCGCGCATCAGTTTTGGGGCTCCCGGAGGATGTCATCCATATAATCAAATCAACATGGCCTTACACAGGCTACGAAGAGGAAATTTCGCCCCGGAGGAAGTACTGTATATACCGCTTCAACAATATCTCCAGAAACGCACAATGTGAATTGCACAATTGACTTTTCCAGCTTTCGAAACTGTATTGGTAGCAGTACTTACTTTTTTAGGTATAAAAATTATGATATCATCTCGATAGATATTTTTACTTTCAACGTCCGGTTTATTACTAGTGGGACAGGAAAAAAAAATAGCATTAGACTTTGAATAAATGTTTGATTTGTGCGACTTGTCCAGTGTATGTAGCCTCTACCAGGCTTGAGGGCGCGGCTGGAAATAGTAGAAATTGGCCAAATAGAGAGATATAACACGCCGAGGGAGTTTAGCCATCCAGTTTACAGTTGGCCGGCAAACTGTAAACTGGATGGCTAAACTCCCTCGGCGTGTTATATCTCTCTATTTGGCCAATTTCTACTATTTCCAGCCGCGCCCTCAAGCCTGGTGGAGGCTACAATGTATGGGCGGCGTCAAATGCTGACTTGTTATGGTGAGAAGGAGGAAGATAGGTCTGATAGCTGAGAGAACAGACCACAGTGAGATATGGATCAGACGGAAGTAGCAAAGACCCGGAACGACAAGCCTTGTCTAACGGAAACATACGCGGATACACAGATTTTCAGGGACAGTTCATAGTTCATTTGATCAATGTAATTTCAAGGCAATATGTATGGTATTGACATACACTGCCCCACATTATCATATTTGCATCAGAATTTTATACTTTGAGCATCTAAGACAGCACAGAAACAAGCCTCAAAATGGTCACTTATTTTCCGGGTGGTACCCCAAATATCAGCCCAGAATCCTACCAGTAACCGTTTTTCGTTACAATTTTCGCCAGTTTTGTTCGATGTTTTAAATGACTTCTATATTGATTTTGACATTTTTAAAGAAATTTTTAGACGGATGATTAGTCGCATAGTCTTTATTAGGCTTCAGAAACGGCCGCAAAGAGTAGAAATTGACCAATAGACATATAGCATGTCATTTGGTCCGCTAGAGGAGTACAGTTTGCCACTCCCGGGCTACGATTTTGATGCCGTACTGTAGAGTTTTCATGTAGGCTGTGACCAACTACCGGCAAGGAGTCATAAATAAGTCTAAGAGCCAGATAACTTTTGTTAAAACGACAGCCAAATTTTGCAGTGCATTACGCTTATGAGTATTGGCTATGCAAAGAATGCCCTCACACGAAGTATGTGATCGACCGAGCCCTAACTTTACATGTACGTCTTTCCTAAACCTTCCACCGTTCTTATGTCTTAATCTGTTGTTTCCACCTTAAAATGTCAGTTTTCTTGGACGAGCAACTAGAAAACGAAACTCCTGGTCTCTGTTCACATATTACCTTGTTATAGAGCCTGACGTTCTAATTCTGTGCCAAGCTATTCTGGTCTTATCACGGAGGTTCCCAGTAAGATCGGAGTGCACGGAATTCCACCGGTGGGCATATCTTTGTCTGTCCATCACAAGTGTTCAGCCTCGCCCTCCTACTCCTGACGGTACATGTTTTGTAGATAAGACACATGTTTCCTTATCACTAATTCTTCGTATTCAAATACTAAAAACCTCATAAGATGGAAAAAGTAGATAAAAGACATATGAATATAAGATATACATCATATACCATATGAAACGAAGTGGCTTAAAATGATTTTTAATCACACACGATGACTGAGAAATTAAGTTTTTTTTTTGTATTATTATTCCAACATTTCATGACTGGACATGCAGAAGACAAATACGGAACAGGACAATACTCATTTTCAGTTGAGTTAGGTGAGGGAAGTCGTATAAAGTGCCTTTCCCAAGGGCACAAGATCAGTGGCATGTCAGGACTCGAACCCGGGACCTCTTTTTTTTTTTGTTTTTTTTTAATTCCAACAAGTAATCACCAGACGTGGTGACGGCACACTCAAGTTTTTTTCAACTTATATTAACGCCGCCACCAACACAGGGGACGAATACATGACAGGACAATACTCATTTTCACCTTTACAAAAGTGTATTTTTAGATGCTCTGGCAAGACTCCCAATCGCCTGTCTCGGCATTTTTCTTCATCTCTATGCTTTTTTTTTCTGCAAAAATATAATATAGAGATGCAAACTAGCGCCGGGGCTAACTTGTTCTGACCAATGCGGTGCATTGAAAGTTGGAATGTAACAGGAGAACCGTGTATATTTATTGTAAACATGTCTGTTAGCCAGGTATTACTGATTATGTCAACTACAATCAGAGATAAGGTCGTATTTTGGTGTCATGAGCACAAACAGCGCAACCACGCGTTTCTTGGAAGTTGGAGTAGCCGTAGTGGGAAGGTATATGTATCTGTAGGTAGCTCTCAAAATGCGGGCAAATTTAGTAAGAGCGCTAGGACCGTTCTAACCCAGAAAGGAAACCGTAAACGACAAATAAGCTAACCAACAAATAGTGCTGCGCACCGGTTCACTGGAATTGAATCCGGACTTGAAAGAATGTTTAGGTTCAAGTCAAAAAAAAACTAAAAGTCAAGAGCCGAGTACGGACTTATTGTCATAAAAGACCATTTCACATACACCTTTTCTTTCCAAACCACCTAAAACCTTCCGTAGATTGCAAAAAGTCTTCTGAAAAATGAAGAAAACATCGGGCATCGTTAAGTACTGGCCTCCATATTATGTGGCAAAGTTTTACCCAGACAACATAGCAAGGTTGCCAACATACAATTTGTATATGCCATGGGTTTAGGTCCGGACTTACAAGTCCGGAACTGAACCTAAACCTCTGGACTTGAATCCGGACCTGAACCTAAATGTGGGTTTAGGTATATGCAGCACTACCAACAGATTAGGTGGCGAGGTCGTATTGTGGTTAGGGTTGTTGACTTAGAATATAAACTTTGGAATCCCTGGTAGTTCCCTAGTCTTCACCAGACTAATTTGCAGGCCTCTTCTTCTTCGTTTTGAAGACCTGAATCTATCATAAGTTACTTAAGTTGTGAAAATTCAAAGAGAATCTGGACTTCTTTCGGGGTTTGTGTTTCGGGTATTTCCGTAGGGTGATTAGATCAACAAACAGCACAGGCAACACAGGTTTCTCTGTAACCCAGCGTTGACCCTCTCCGATTTAATTTAGATTAGATTAGAAAGTAGATTGCCCGGTAGTAATCCCTTAATCCCCATCACTAACTCAAAACAAACCGTTAATAGGAGATCGGTCAGTCAGGGGTAAATCATTACATTACAGGGGAGGGGTGAACGAGTCAACGTGTTCAACCCGCTACCACATCTGGGAACTACGTAATAGCAGTAAATACACTGCATTCTAGAAGACTTAACAACCAAAGAAACTTTCAATTTAAGGGTGCACAAATAGATCGACAGCAGGTTGTTTTAACTTATATACAGGGTTGCGTTGCTTAGAGTAAATATCACAAAAATAAATCCTTACCTAGATGTTCAGGAGTGTACAACGCGTTTCTGTAGGAAGTTGTTGTGTTGTACTTGTAGTTTTTTTATTATTTAAGAAATTATCATTCCTTGAAACTCATGTATTTAATAATAATTCAAAGACAATGACAATGAAGTTAATTGCATATTCATGTCCTGGGCCGGCCCATTGGGACTAAATGTAGTACGTCAGCTACAAATAAGGAGTAGAGAGATAATGTTATCTTTTTATTTGCATCTATGCTTTACAAGTTTCTTCTTCTATATAAATTATATAAAGTCACAAAGACCTGTTCTGTTTTAACCTGACTGTATGAGCGCCGCCATGTTGACAGTCATGTGACGATGTTGTATTTCCGGTTGCCAGGTGAACTCTGTTGCGCAGCTGCGGGATGTGGATAAGAAGGACCTGCAGATTGTGGGGATGTCCCGCCCGGAACAGAAGCGGTTCAAGAGATATTACGACAAGAGGTTCGGGACGTGGAGCAAGCTGAAAAAGGTGAACAGAACAAAATACTGTGACTGAACGGTTTTGTTCGCAGGATCTTTCGTCATCTCCCCACGTTTCATGTATACATTTTTTTTATCAAAAACAGCAAAAACATAAATACATACAAGATGGCGTCGAACTCAAGTTCCATGGAACTTGTACTAACGGCGCCATCTACACAAAATGGTGAAACAGGGATATACTGATTACATGGACAAATAAACAAATATACAAAATCGAAACAAACTAATTGGGGTTTAGAAATGGAACTCAACGAGCACAAGTCCCAACCCCTATCCCTTAGAATTACTGATAGGACACGTGTAGAACTAGAGAGGCCGACATTTGCTTGGGAGCAAATACAGCATATTTCAGTCCATCTCCCTCCCACGCAAAAGTGGACTATTCCAAACTTACCCTGTTTATTAGCGGGAATAAACTGGTTGAAATTAGCCTTATTTGAACGCAAATCAACTGGTTTTAACCGGTTCTTTAACAGCCACCCTATGAGTAGGTTTGGTATGAGTTCGCCTGTGGAATCTTAGTTACATGTAGGTTTTGTCAAGAACACTATTATGTTTTGTCCTGAACGTGAATATGAATATCCACATTGGAACGTAATCCTTCCAGCTATTATGCCAATGGTAATCTATATTTTTCGAGATTTGTTTTGTCTTCTGTGAGTGAAAATTCTCCTGACAATGTATCTCACAGGTGTTCAAGAGAGAAACGGAGTCAAAAGCAGCCCCGACTGACCGGCTCCCGACATCCCCTGCGAACGTGGGACGAGACCGTCACCTCATTCCCAGTGACGCCATCACCATCAACTACCGCGCAGAGCCTCTCGGGAAGGGCGAGTTTGGCATCGTGTACCGGGGTGTCTGGAGAAGGGAAGACGGTCAAAGGGTGGGTGGATCCAACACTTATTTTTATTTAATTTTCGTAATAGAACAGACGATAATCAGGCTTTGCTCTTAGTCTCCACCAGACTCCTTTTGCAGGCTGAATAAATAGTAGAAATCGGTCTAAAAAGGGGATATAATTGGCCAGACAAGGTAGCTCGTTAGAAAAGCTCCATTTGCGGCCGGCTACCTTGTCTGGTCAATTATATCCCCTTTTTAGACGGATTTCTACTATTTATTCAGCCTGCAAAAGGAATCTGGTGGTGACTAGGTGACTAGCTTCACCCCTTCACATACCTCAAACACACAAACACACGCACATTCAACACACTCTCTGTCTCTCTCACTCTCTCACACACTCACATATATAACACACTCATACAGACATGACCCACATACACTAACACACAAGCACACACATATATAGCATACACAGAAATAAACACACACACCCTGATATAACACATGCACACACAGTGACACACGCACACACACACACACATTACAAGTCACACACATTACACATACAGAGAAGCATAACACCGCACACACACACACACACACACGCGCACACACACACACACACACACAAACAAACAAACAAACAAACACAAATTAACACACACACAAACACACTCACATACACCTGAACTCCCTCGGGTGGAGTCAAACGTTACGTTTTCAGTGGTGGATTAAAGAAGACACGTCGGAAAAAAGAACACCACAAGATCTCCTGCAAGTTATTTTTTCCTAACAAACACGAACTTCACTGATACGGTACAGCCAACACTAGGACGTTGATCCATACAGCAGTGTTTGGATGTAATTTAGTACGTTTGATGAACACGGCTTGCTGTAGGTCCTGTTTTAGTGTTTACCAGTCACGCATGGTGTAGACATGTCAGTCTAAGTGACGACGTTAGGTCGTACTAACTAGACAGCACTTCCGGGGGCACGTCCTCACGATAGAACAGCCGGGGGAAGTCAGAATCACAGTGGTTGGACCCTGGGGTCGACCTGTGTGTAGATAGATGATCTGCTGTTACTGTATGATTTTTACACTAGAATTTTTTTTAACAGAAGTAAAAGTGTGTTGCGCCGAAGGAGAGTTTTACCGTGATGACCAATCTGAAGTCCCCTAGCAGTTGGAAAAGAGCTATTGAACGAGTTGGAGATTGAAAATATAATTTATCGAGTCACTGGCCTAATTGCTATAATCTCCAATTTGATTTAAATGGTGGAACTGACCATTGGTGTGCGGGTTGCCCCCGTAGGATTGGATACATTTTGATAGTGCCTTACCCCTGTGAATTCTGCTTAGAGATTATTGAAAAAAAGGCACGTGACCTATAAATTTTAAAGTTATGCATTTAATACAGTTACATTTTATACGGTTGCGATTTCAACCTGGCTCAATAACTGTCAGGACAATCGTTCTTGCCCCCCCCCCTCTCCGTACATAAGTTACATTGCATCACGCCCCCCTCCCTCACTAAACACGCCCGTACCTTGTCAACCCCGGTCTGCTGTCCGTGTCTGACAACCGGCCCTGGTACTACAGACCCTTCATCAATCTTGTGGGTGGAAGGTATTCGCCCCCGGGCTTTCGCGGTGACTGAAAAGAGTAAAAAGAAGTTCCTCTCCGCTGTAGGGCTGTGGTACACCCTGGTCTAGATTTGCTGTGGAATGTGTTCATCTCAATTTCAGTAGAAGACTTACGATTTATTCTGGAGCTATGAAAGAAAAGAAAACCTTGCCTGTAAAATACAACGTAAAATGTAAAATACACTTTCTTGTGGGTGTGACTTATTCGCCCCGGGCTTTCGCGGTGACTGGAAAGAGTAAAAAGAAGTTCTTCTTCGCTGTAGGGCTGTGGTACACCCTGGTCTAGATTTGCTGTGGAATGTGTTCATCTCAATTTCAGTAGAAAACTTACGATTTATTCTGGAGCTATGAACGATAGGAAAACCTTGCCTGTAAGTGTAAAACAAAACGTTACCCACCACGGTAATTTTCCCCGACGGTCTATATTTTCTGGTAAACAGCGACACCAATGCATCTTTTTTTCCTGATAATGATATTTCAGAAGTACAGTTGACTCTTTCATATCATCTTTCTCAGTATATTACATCTGTCCATGCTAAGAATAATGTCTCCAGGATGTGTTAATTTCCCCTTCAAACCGGAAAAGCTGTGCGACCAAAGAGATTTGTATGGCATGTGCCTTAGTATATTCAATATGATTTATGATGTAAAAGCGTAATTTAAAACACATTCAATAAAACGGACAAAGTCACAAAACACAGTTAATTCGTGTGAACTACTAGTACTAATAGAGTTTCGTTCGTTAAAGGTCGCCCCATTTACAATGAATATAAGTTGAAAGTTTATTGCAAATACATGCCCGAGGGCTAATTGCAGTTACAAACAACATAAGAAAGAAAATACAGTGCTATGTGATATGTGAGACTATATCTACGTCTAATATTATACTACATTCTACAATATACATTTAGGCAATGGAAGACGAATTTACCCACTTCTTCTATATAAGTAAGCCTAAGTGCTTTCAAATGTTTCGTATTTGACAATAGAGATGTGTAGTATCGACATTTCTTTATTTTGTAAAGGTTCCCTTGTACTATAAAGAAAAGTAAATATCAGATTCCTTATCGGTATCAATTAATGAAACCATGGATCGCTGGCATATCAAATGATTTGCAGTCTTTTATTTTTGTTAAGAGGCGTGCGTCCAATTCAACTTCAGAGCGGGAAAACAAAATATTCCGGATGAAGAAACATGTCTGCTTTTTACATTCTCTGCCATTTCGTAGCGTCATCATTTCATTTTTGAAGTGTTTGAAATAGCCCCAAAACAAACTATAGCTACGTGAGACGGGAGTATCCTTATTTATGGGTACCACCCACAAATAGCTAGAACCAGGCTATTGTACAAAACAAACAAACATTTTCCCCCAGCAATATTCGCATTTAACTTACGCCACAGCAAGTAAATTTTATGGATGACATCCTCCTCAGACTTCCAATTTATGTCGATGGGGCGAAGACAAAAACAAGGCGGGCCACAAAAACAAGTTTCCTTTATATATATATATCACTATATATGAAGAGATGAGATAAGAAACGGCTCTGATCTTACTTTGATGCAGTGATATGTGATGCTGGCTGTGTATATGTGATGTCCCCACTGAATCAAAACCATTTGTACAATGATTTAGTCAAGATTTCAAAATGTATGAACCTTGTTTTTTCGGCCCGCCTTGTTTTTTTCGCCCGCTCGCATTAGATTCGGAGTTTGCGAAGGATGCCATCCATGAAATTTACTTGTGTCTGTGTACTTGTGCTGTGTCATTAGCGTGTTTTCTCATTCCCACGGTGGATATAAGACTAAGGTTCACGTTAGAAGCGTGCAAAGCCAAATAAACACGGCCTTGGCGGCTCCTGTTGATGATAGTGAAGTACTTGTCACGGCAGGTTGATTCGGAGCACATGTCGGGTGAGTTCAGGGGAGGGAACTGTAAATAGTCCGTCCATTAGAACGTGCGGTGAAAGCAGGAAAAACAATCTATTTAAAACAAACCCATATTTCAAACCTTAAATCTGTACCCCCATTGCAAAGCTAGATCTCCCCAGTATGGATACGAAATTCAGGAGTTTGACACATTTGATTTGATTTGATTTATTAGGCTGATAACACATATGTATGCAGCCAGGACTTCCCAACTAGCCGGAGGCTATCATAAAGGGCTAGCCCTCACAACAAGAACATAAACAATTCGGAACAGTTAACAGTTAACAGTGTCGGTTACACTTCAGATAAACATACTATTACATAACAGATGTTGCGGTCTAACTTAACACTTAAGGTGGTCTTTTGAATTCTAAACGGAGTTTTTCCTACCAGTTGTATTCAAAGTAGAATTATCGAAGGACAGTAGAGAACTTCAATTCAAAAACAAGTTAAACATTTTTTTTTTCAAAACATGTTTTGCAAATTCGCAATCACACGTAGGCCATATAGTATGATACAGCGTAATTCGGGACGTAATTCGGGACGTATGGAGACTGGCTTCTAGCAGCGTTTTCCTGCAGTGCACCTACTAAAATGTATCGTTAGATGGCGCTACTGTACGTAGCTCCTACATCCGGGTGACGTGTTTTGCGAGTTCTGGTCACACCACAAGCTGTTACCATATATAGACACAGCCGTAGGGTGAAATTGACGGAAGGGGCGTGGTCTTACAACCAACTCCTACTCTAATCTGTATATAATGGTTCTACAGATCCATGGTGAGCCGTGGTTTGGTGGAACCACGTTGTGTGATCAGACAGACAAGGTTCCACACACACCATGGGACTACACAAACACGGAGCCCCTGTTGTTGGGTTAAAAAGGGTGACATACCCGCTTGGTAAAAACCATGGTGCCAGACCAAATCGACACTTACCGGATATTTTGGGGGTACATATGGGGAAGATGCCATTCCACCTTTGCGGTATACTCGTCCTGGGTTCAAATCCGTGGTAAAATGCTGATAAAACTTGTTTGTTTTTACGTCCCCGAAAGTGTTCCTAATATGGAAGCCAATGTTAAAACCATTCATAACATTCGACGTGGTTAATGTTTACCTTCGTGAGCGGAGGTATTTTTTTCTGTGTGTTTGTGTGCCTGTGTCATCGCAAACATTGACCAACATACCTCAGAAAGCTATGGATTGTAATGGTATTTGGTAGGCGGGTAGGTATTGGAAAAATAAAGGTCAACGTCTATTATGACCGTCCTGGCGGCTTTTCTTAGCATGGCAGCCTTAGTTCCTGTTTTCGTATCTTATTTTTACTGAATATGCCACGGTATTAAGTTTTTGATGACAGGTTTTTGTGTTGGTTTAGGAAAAGTCATAACTATAATGGGGTTTGTTTTAAAAACCTTGAAAGATGATCTGGCGGCAGATTATCATGATTTGGGCATATGGGTAAGCTTTGACCTAGGTAACTTTGGGAGTTCATGCAAATCATGCAAAACGCACTTTTCAAATGTGGAGGAAATTCTATCATGCCAGTATTTTTCCGTGTGTGTTTTTTTGCCCTGAACAATGCTGTGGCCTAGTTTTTTAGGCACGGATAGCTCTTAACATCAGGTAGAAGTAGTATAAGGTAGTTTTGGAATTTTAATTTTTATCTGTTAAAAAGGTCATCTTCTAGTAGCCTCTACCAGGCTTGAGGGCGCGGCTGGAAATAGAGAGATAACACGCCGAGGGAGTTTAGCCATCCAGTTTAC